ATATGGTTGCCACTGAGATACCTTCCTCTTCTAAGAGAACAAGAGTCCCAGATTAGACATACAGACAAAACTTTTATTCTTCAACACCTCTTTAATTTTCCCCCAGAATCCTGGTACAATATAATAAATGATGATGTTTGTAGAGCTGTGGATAAGATCACAGAATATGAAACTACATCCCTGCACTGTTCCGCCCCCCTCTTATGAGCTGAGTGATATAGAGCAAGCCCCCTACCTTCTCAGGGCCTTAGATTTCTCATTTGTAAAATGTAAGAAATATCAATAGCTAACTCAAAGGTTGCAGTTAGGATCTATGGTCAGAGTTCAATAAATATTATCTAGCATGAAGATGTTAGCTATTATTTTCTAATTTATAGTAATAATATCATATTTATCTGACTAATTATATCTTATTTTCCAGGTACGTTTATTATTAATTTATACTTAGACACAGATTCTTAAAATTACAAGTCACAGATGAAATTCACTATCTCTTAGTTTGATTCAACTTTGGTCACATTTAGAAAGAAATTTAATCTCTCCAGTGGGGCTTTCCCCAGATGGGGTTCTTTCTTAGGAAAGTTCCTGTTTCACACTCTTTCCACATATCTGCTACCTCAGTAAGATTTCCCCTCACTTATTTCATATTTCTACTTCTGGACTTGAGAGAACTTTCCTGCATGGCCTTGGTCATTTGCTAGCCATTGAAGTTAAAAGAGAAGGCTGCCCTTTCATTTTCAGCCTAATCAGCATAGCATGTCAAGGCGGCTATGTTCAAGATCCCAGACCAATTCTTGAAAAACCAACCCAAATAGTTAGGGAGACAGGAATGAGGATAGTGAGAAAGGTCCAAAGGAGACACACAGATGCCCAGCAAACACATGGAAGATGCTAAACCTCATTAGTTATTAAAAACATGTAAACCCAAACTATAATGAGATACCACTCCATTCCCACTAAGATGGCTATAATAAATAATAATAAATAATAACCAGTGTTGGCAGGAAGTGAAGAAATGAAAGTATTTATATGTTGTTGGTGGGAATGTAAAATGGTGTAACCATTGCAATAAACAGTTTAGTGATTCCTCAAATACTTAAACCTAGGATTACCATATCACCCAGCAATTCCACTCCTAGGTATATAGCTAAGAGAAATGAAAACATATCCTCAACACTGAAGTTTTTACACAAGTATTTTTAAAATATATTTTATTGATCCTTTACAGAGAGGAAGGGAGAGGATAGAGAGTTAGAAACATCGATGAGAGAGAAACATTGATCAGCTGCCTCCTGCACACCCCCCACAGGGGATGTGCCCACAACCAAGGTACATGCCCTGGACTGGAATCAAACCTGGGACCTTTCAATCCGCAGGCCAACACTCTACCCGCTGAGCCAAACCGGTTACGGCTTACACAAATATTTTTAGCAGCATTAATCACTACAGCCAAAAGGTGGTAACAATCCAAATATCTATTGAAGATAAAGGGATAAATTGAGATACACACACACACACACACACACACACACGGAATATTATTTAGCCATAAAATAATACTGATATATGCTACAACTTGGATGAACCTCAAAGTCATCATGCTAAGTGAAAGAAGCCAAACACAACAGCTCACATATTACATGATTCCTTTCATATGAAATATCCAGAATATGCAAATCCATCAGAGACAGGAATAAGACCAGTCATTGCCAGAGGTCAGGGTGGGGTGTTGCTGGTAGAGGGAGGATGGAAAGTAATTAAGTACCAATTAATTTGTGGGTACACACAACTTAATGGGTATAAATAAAATGTTCTGCTGGGGTCATGAGAAAGCTTTGAAACTAGAGAGAGGTAGGTTGCACATTTAAATTGGTTCCACTGAATTGTACACTTTCAAATAGTTAATTTTATGTTATACAAAGTTCACCTCAATATCTAATAAACATAATATTATATTTAACATAATCCTCTTTTAGTTTTATAAAATGCAGATATACATGAGAGTAAAATGTGTTAGTTCATACATCAATACAGCAAAGATGATTATCAATGAACAATCTGAAATCAGGTCATTTTAATTATTTTCTCTATGATTAAATTGTTTTTAAAATTTTCCAATAACTTCAAAAATTAACGGCATGTTAAAATTTTTAACAATAGGAAGCAGAAGCTACAGTGGAATTGAATAATACATTTTTAAGAACATGGGGCAAATTCTTACATCATAGGGTTAAGTTAAGATAAAAGAAAGTGGTATTGTATATACAACATAAATATAGCAATTTATATATAGCATGATCCCAAGTACTTAAAATGCACGTCTTATGGTAACACTGTATGGGGGAGATGGGGTTGGGCAAATGAGTGACATTTTTCTTTTTTACTTTCCAAATCTTTCTTGTTTTTTATTTCAAAGTACTGTTTTATATAATTAGTCATTTTATATTATATGAACATCAATCTATAATAACAAAAGCATAATATGCTAATTAGACCAGACAGCCCAACGACCTTCCGGACGAAACCAGGGCTATGAGGGCCATGCCCCTTGCACAAATTTTGTGCATCGAGCCTCTAGTATAATTATAATTGTAAAATAAATTTTATGACAAGAATGGACTGATTTTCATATTTCCAAATTAGAGTCAACTGCCCATTTACACAGAACAGTCTTTGCATGAAGCCCAAAAGGCCACAGCATAAAAATGAGTGATCCTGTAGCCCCTTTGTTTTTGCTGATCAACAGTTTTGTAAAAAGCAGTTGCAGGTGTGTCAACTAAGGTCTGAAAGAGTAGAAGCAGAAGATTTAGTCTCAGCAGAAAAATGCCAAAACAGGAGCTGGACAAAAGAAGAAACAAGGACATGACCAGAGGCTGCTGCCTTAATAGACACCTGCATTCTCTGCAGGACGCAAGGCCAACTTTTCTTAATGAGCATATTTACCACTGTCATCAGAAAGGTTCTTTATTTTGTAAAGTCTATATGAGGCAGACTGAATTCAAAAAACTTAGAGGTTTGGAGTGTATGTGCTATGACAAGGAAGACGTTTACACTGAAGTTATGTATTTTGATACATAATGTTCCTCATAGAAAAATTGTAAAATATAAAAAACATAAAGGTGGACATTTTAATTACCAAACTCTAACCACTCAGAGATACTTAGTCAATCTTTGAATAGAATTGGGCCAAGGCTGTTTAGAAGCAATGGTCCTTCACTGTGTAGTGAGCTCATCAGCATAATTTGCTTAGCAAGTGTGAGCCTATTGTGTGCCAAGCCTGCTCTAGCAGAAGTGTGGCTCTGCACAGAGCACAGAGGACACTGAAAGGACAATTATTGCTCTTTGGTTGACAAGCACGTTTTCTCACTTCATTCGATATCGACAATTTAGTAACTTGAACTTCCTTTGGGGAAACAGCCCTTTTCACTCCTAGTTCCTGTGGTTTGGGCGGGACTGACCACTGCCAACCCAAAGTAAGGATGACCTACACTTTGGTCAGTCAGTGGGTTCAACTGCAAGGGCAATAATGATTCCTTACACTAGGCCAGCGGTTCCCAACCTGTGGGTCGCGACCCCTTTGGCGGTCGAACGACCCTTTCACAGGGGTTGCCTAAGACCATCCTGCATATCAGATGTTTACATTATGATTCATAACAGTAGCAACATTACAGTTATGAAGTAGCAACGAAAATAATTTTATGGTTGGGTCACAACGTGAGGAACTGTATTTAAAGGGCCAGAAGGTTAAGAACCACTGCTCTAGGCCTCTAGGCCACTACCATATCAAGGACAGTACTTTTGTTTAAAATGTTGACAAGGCAGATGGAGCATTTGTAAATGAAACCCCTCGACAGGAAACTGTGATGATGAATGGGTTGCTATGTGTGTTTAGTAGATGGTGGTGATGCTCTGTTCCTCCCCTTGCATCACTCTACCATGGCCCTCCCCACTCAGTACTCTGCTCCCTGATGTTTCTGTCTCCCCCACCAGATGGCCACCTCTCTCTAAAGCAGCAATTTTCAACTAATGTCCCACAAGAACTTTTAAAACATGCAATACCAGACTATTTGGTCAGGAGCACTAACATGTTTTCCCTTAGATCATCAAATTTAAAAATTACAACAGCCTGGCTGTTGTAGCTCAGTGACTGAGCGTAGACCTATGAACCCAGAGGTCACTGTTCAATTCCCGGTCTGGGCACATACATAGGTATTGGGCTTGATCCCCAGTGTGGAGCATGCAGGAGGCAGCCAATCAAGGATTCTCTCATCATTAATGTTTCATTTCTCTCTCTGTCTTCTTTCCTTTTTGAAATCAATAAAAATTATATTTAAAAAAATGACAACAGCCAACACAACAATAGTCATCTGGTGTGAATGCCCTTTGTGGGACCATAAATAAATAGGTCATATAATAGAATTGCATTTTATTGGTCATGGTGCATAATATAGTTGTGTCTGATTGTTTAATTCTTGGTACCAGAAGTTCTTATATAGAAGTATAGGCACCTGATTTTTTTTTAAGTCACTTTGGAGCAAAAAGGGTAGTTAATTACTTTTCTTCTTTTTGCAAAACAATCAAAAGTATACCTATTTTTTGTGAGATATACAAAAATATATTTTTTAGTGTGTCACAGAATATTAGTACTTTATGTGCCATGAAGAAGTAAAAGGTTGAAAATCACTGCTCTAAAAACAGGAGACACATCTCCACTACGTTTGTCCATAAGACAGAAAAGGACCTAAACGGACACATGCAAAAGAAATTACCCTGATGGACTCAGTAGCATGGAGATGAGGCACTGGGGGTTCTCTCACTGGGGACTCAGGTTTCTGGGCTCCAGTACCTCCACTGGTCCATACCACATTCCATAGGCCCCACCTTGTAACCTTGGGTTCCTGCTCAGGGCTGGAGTCTGCTTAAGGTCTGCTCTGAGTCATCAGCTGTGGGTACTGATGTGGTCGCTGCATACTTCTCACACAACCACACAGAGACCATCATCAGGCAGGAGGTGTGAGGGCGGAGATGCTTCATAGAAAGCCTTCTGGGATGAAGCACTACAAAACCAGAGGGGGACTCAGGTCTCAGAGCCCACCCACACTTCCTGCCTCTTCTGGGCGTGCGAACAGAGCACAGAGAAACACCAGTAGCTCCGACCTGAGCAGCCTTCCTGGGAAGATGCAGCCACCCCTGCTCGTGCTCCTGCTGGCCTTTTTCCCACTCCCCTTGGGTGAGGCAGGTGAGTGACCATCCCCACCCTCACAGGCCCAACCTATCCCACATTAGCACAGACCTCCTGGCCCTTCTGCACATCCCTGACCCAGCTCTCCACCAGGAATGCTCTGAACCCCAGCTCCCATCCCATCTCAGACCCACACATGATGCTGGATGAGCTACAAGCAGAAATGACAGGCAGAAGCCTATTCTCAAGAAAAGCCGGGGGCCACAATGCCCTCCCCAGGCCCTACCTGTGCCAAGTGGAGAGTGGAACTTCCTAGAAGTGCATGGCAGAGGCTGGGAAACTGCAGAGGGCAGAGCAGTCCTGGCTTCCATGTCTGTGATGAGACAGGTGCTGTCCTCAGGGTCTGCTTAGGAGAGAAGCCAGAGCTCAGCAGACCCCACAGTTGGTGGGGTCACTGTCCCCAGAAGACTGCTGTTTCCTCTGCTCCAGCTCAAGGCCCCTCAGTCCCTTTCTCCAGCTCTGCTTTTCTTCCCAGGCCTTTAGCAGGTCCTCTCCTTACAGGATGAGCCAGTGAGGTTGGCAGCCCCAAACTTCTCTGCTTTCCAGAATCCCACAGCACTGGCATTACCGACCCAATTCCAGAGGCCCATGGGGGGCCAACCCTTCAAGGCAGTTAATAAACACTTACCGGGAACTCCTCATGTGTCAGCATGTAGATCCCTTAAGTCCTAGACACTGCAAAGTGCACTACCCTGGATGTCACAGCGCCACAGGGGCCTCAGAAGCTCACCCAACACCAAGCGAAGTCAGGAGAGGAACTTTCAGGAGCTTCCAGGCCTTCTCTGTCCCTAAGACCTATATTCTCACCTGCAACTATGTGTCAGGCAAAGTCACAAACCCACCCCTTTGCTATTCCCTTTCCAGGTGAGAAAGTTGAGGGCCCTCCCCACCCCTTACAACTCCAGGCCAGTCCAGCCTCCCAAGTGCCCATGTGCCTGAGTCATCAAGCCAGTGCCTGCCTGGTGGACTCAGTGGGAACACACAAGTGCAACACATTTTTCCTTCAGGGGAGATCATCGGGGGACATGAAGCCAGGCCCCACTCCCGCCCCTACATGGCCTATCTTCGCATTAAAAATAAGAAGAAGTACATGTGTGGTGGTGTCCTTGTGCAAAAGAACTATGTTCTGACAGCTGCTCACTGCAAAGGAAGGTAAGGGGCCGCAGCCAGGCTACACTTCCTGAGACCCCTACAGGGACCCTGTCCTCCATCCCGGGAGCTGCAGCCCAGGGCAGCTCCCCAGGCTCCCGATAACTCAAGCCCATGAGACCTCATCAGAGGAGCCATCAGGGATCATGACGGAGCAATGAGAGGCTGGGAAATAGGACAAGTAATCTCTGGGCTCAGAGGGTCAGAGGTGACAACAAGTAACACAGGAAGAGGAGGACCACACTCGGCAAATAAAGCAGCGGTGGACCATGAACACATGCATTAGGGTCAAAATGAAAATGAAAGCAATTCATGGCATTTCCTGAGGGCCAGAAAGCTCCCAGCTCCCTAACCTCAGTGTCATTGAGAAGTAGAGTCACTCAGCCCCTTTCCCCTGTTGCTCGATTTCCCCAGTCTGCAGCCCTGCCCTGCCCCAGCTATGACCTGCCCTTCACAGCTCCTGAGCTAAATCTCCTGTGACTCTATGTCCCCACCATTCACCCAATCTGCTCTCTGTGCAGGTCAATCAGTGTCATCCTCGGGGCCCATAACATCAAAGAGAAGGAGAAGACCCAACAGGATATCCTGGTGAAAAGAGCCATCCCGCACCCAAAATTTAATAAGAGGAAAGGCACCTATGACATCATGTTACTGCAGGTGAGGAAACCTGCTGCTCTTGCAGTTTTGGGATCTCATTGTATCTCCTCTCACTGTGAACCGTCCCATCCTTTCCTCCCATTCTGGCCACCTGACCAGTCCTAGTGACTCAGATGTCCCTCAGGGTCCAGGCTCAGAGACCACTCGCTGACCTGGGCTCCCTTGCCTCTTCCCCACCAGCTGGAGAGAAACATCGAGCAAACTGATGCTGTGAAGCCCCTCCCACCGCCCAGGGGCAAGGACCTGCCGAGGCCAGGAGATAACTGCACTGTGGCGGGCTGGGGAGAGGTCACACGGAGGGGCCCTGGCTCAGACACTCTGCAGGAGGTAGAGCTGACCCTGCAGGCGGATTTGAAGTGTAAAAGGCGCTTTAACCGTTACAATGAGAACATTCAACTGTGTGTGGGGAACCCAAGAGAAAATAAGACTTCCTTTCAGGTGATACTGAACATCTGCCTGGCTTGGTTCTGGGGGGAAGGGTGTTTGGGTAGAAAGTAGGACCTGGGACCCAGGCAGGGAGGTGGACTCCTTCACCCTCTAGGTTGTAATCTTTCTCCCCAGAAAGAAAAAAGGGGAGCCGCCAGAGCAGGGAGGAATAGGGTCTCCAAGGGCCTACAAGGCCCCTGGTCACTCCAAACACGGTGTGGATATCCCTAGTCTGTAGCCCTGCCCTGGGGAGGGGGATGTGTAACACTGTGGCCCAAGCTGGGGCAATGCAGTGAGATCACTATTCCCTGGGTGTGCAGAAGTTATACCGGGTGGCTCCTCAGAGCTGGTTAGTGGTGTCAGCCCCACCTGCCTGCTCTTGGGTCCTTACACAGTAGGCTGCAGCCACATTCCTGCAGCACCTTCATAGCCAGAGGATCAGGGACCTGGGGGAGCAGAGGGAGCCACCACCGGGGATGAAGTGAAGCAGTGACAACGTCTAGGCTGAGGGGACCACTGGGGACCTGCCTGCCTGCTTATCTCCCAAGTGAACACCATGCAAGGCAGCCTTCTCCGAGAGGGGCTTGGGATGGCAAGGAGGGCAGGGCCAGGAGAACTGGCTCAGTCCTTCCCTCTCTCTGTCCACAGGGGGATTCCGGGGGGCCTCTCCTGTGTAGAAATGGGATCCAGGGCATTGTCTCCTATGGAAGCGATGATGGGACACCGCCACAAGTCTTCACCAAAGTCGCCAGTTTCCTTCCCTGGATAAAGAAAACCATGGAAAGCCTTCAACTGCAGGAACCAGATCATCTTCTCTGGAGCTAATCCAGGACCGCACTGCAGGGAGGGAGGTGGAGCCAGAAACCAAATAAATGTCTCTTAGCTGATGGGAAGAGCTGGGTATTTTGTTTATTCTTTGACCCTCATTCACAGGCACCAGCTCTGCTCAGAAGGCCAATTGCAGTAGTTTTTCTCTGTTCTACTTCCTCCTCTTTCCCTCCCCCTCCCCCGCTCCCGAACCCCACGCAAAGCTGTTACCAGGTCCTTCTTGGCCACACCTGCACCTGCAGGGCCAGCACCATTAGGAGAAAACATGAATATCTCAGGTCCTGGGCTCAGTGTGAAGGTCTTACTTCTTCCTCTGTGTTATGTGCTGAGAGGAAAGGACTAGCACCCTGGGTGCTGGGCACCGAGCAGGCACAGCCTGGGCTGCAGCTCAGGAGGCCCCACCACACAGGGGAGAGGAGGGCCCTCCTGAGCAGGACATTGTTCTCCAGCAACCAGGGAGTGGCAGGGTTGGGGTCTGGGGGCTGGTGAGGAGAGACAGGGGTGGAGGAGGGAAGGAAGTCCTGAGAAGCTCCTCATTCCCTCATGGGCTGAATTTCTCTCCCTGCCCTTTTCTGCCCTCCTCTGAGCTCAGGGCCTAGCTTGGCCTCCAGTCTCCTGGATGCCCCTATTTCTCATCCCTGCTGACCACTGAGCATCCTCAGAGTCCACCAACCCTGCGCCCCACAGACCACACTGGTCTGAGCTCCCACTTCTGCATATCCCTCCCACCTAGGACACCCAGAGTGCCCAGGTTCCAGCAGGGCCTGGTCACTGAGTTGCCACCCAGCTTATGTCTGGCACAGGGTGACTGGGGGACGAGGACTGTGTTGGCCCCATGCAGGGCCCTGGAGGACAGGGCGGCAGGGTGTCTGCAGAACACCTGGCCCCATCTCTCACTGGGCAGAGCCAGCTCCACCCTCACATCCAGCCCAGTGTCCTGTATTTGTGTTTTATTTTTATTGCTCATTACGCTCTGTTTGAATTATATCATTTGGGTCTCTAGAACAGCATCGTGTGGGCTTTGGAAATGACTTTATTTCTTTCATTTCTAGACGTGCAGCCCCCAAACTCTTCACTGGCTCATCCTCTTCTCCTCGGGGAGAGGGCAGCAGGTGGGGAGCAGGCAGGGCAGCAGCCTCATTTCCATGAGCCATAAAAGTAGCAGATATAATTGGTGACAGCATGGATGGACCTAGAGGGTATTATACTCAGGGAAACAAGTCAGACTGAGAAAGACCAATACCATATGATTTCACTTATATGTAGAATCTAAAGAACAAGTTAATGAGCAAACAAAATTGAAACAGACTCATAAATAAAAAGAACAGACTGATGGTTGCCAGAGGGGAAGGGGATAGGGGGACCAGGCAGATAAAAGTGAAAAGATTAATAAGTACAAACTGGTAGTCAGAAAAGAGTGACTGGGATGCAAAGTACAGCACAGGGAACACAGTCAATAACATTGTCATAACTCTGCGTGGTGCCAGGTGGGTACTGGAAATACTGGGGGCAACAATTTGTAAAGTGTATGATTTTCTAATCACTATGCTCTACACCTGACAGTAATACAAAATAATATTGAAAGTGGACAGTAATAGGAAAATACAATTTAAAATACACTAAACGTAGCAGGCATGAATGTCATTGTGATACTGTTATAATTATCCCAGTTGTTAATTAATTGACAGGAAAGAAGCAAAGGGAAGGCCTGATAATATAGGCATGACATTTGTGCCAGAATCTGCAGGTTCACACTCTTCAGGTCTGTTCCCCACAGATCCTGGGAGAAGGGAGTGGACAAAGTAAGAATAGAAGCATGCTCAGTAAGTCTGAAAGCCATAGGAAAGATGATTACTTGTCAGTCACACCTGGGAGCAGGTCATTGGCCAGAACAGACGTGGTCCCTGCAATGGCACCAAATCTGAGCTACATAAGCTCCTGGAAAAGCAGAGTTCCCTCTCTCACCCTCTTGCGCTCCTGGCTCTCTTGTGGCAGAGGGCCTGCTCCCCTGCATTGGCCCACATGGCCCACACTCAGTGAACTAATGGATGACAACCAGCCTGATGCTCTGCAGGACTTACTCCACCATGGAATGCAACCTCTGGGCACTGGCTTTGCTGCTAGCTCTGCTGAATCCCCAGCTGCACCTTTTCCAGGTCCAATTTAAAGGAAATGAGAATTTTGCAACTGAGGGATATAACTCCATGCAAATAAAATTCACTCATTCTCCTGTAGAAGTCTTAGAAAATTCCTTTTCTAAAGCTATCATAAGAACCCTACCCCCAGCTCCCAGTTGGGAAAGGCATCCCCCACTTCCACCATTGAGCACCCCATTTTCACCCATTAACAATTGTACAGAATCAAATGGCAGGACAATCCTACAATGTATTTGCTAATGGCAGTTAGAATCTGCCTCTGAACACCGTTCAATTGGACATGGTCCTTCTCATTAGCAAAAGCTCCTGCCTGTGCACAATCCAATTCAAATTAGGGAGGCTCCCGTGGTCAGGAAAGTGGAGACTTGTAAAACTTATTTTTTACATATCAAAATGTATTTATCAATCACTTCTTTTAAAGTTTTTGTATTTAGAGTCATTGCTAGAAAGGCTTTACCCCCTTCTGAGTTTATAGAGAAATTCATCCATGTTTATCCGCAGTGCATGTATGGTTTTATTTTGTACTAGAGGCCGAAGCGTGAAATCCATGCGCGGGGCTTGGCCCATGCCGCCCCAGCTTCATCCAGGATGTCCTCCGGATGGCTGTTCTGCTGTTCGGTCTAACTAGCACATTAGCTCTTTATTATATAGGATATGTAAGTGTCTTACCTATTTGCATTTCATTCTGGTGGTTTATATGAAATATGACTCCAACTTAATATCTTTTAAAAGTGACTTTGTCAACTCTGATTGGAAAATAAAACAAAGAAAAAATATTTTCTAGTTGTTCCAATGTCATTTATTAGAAAGTCTATCTTTTTCCCAATGATTTGAAATGCTACCTTATCATAAATTACATATCTTTATGTACTTGGGAAAGTTTCTAGGTTTTCTATTCTGTTTAAAGGGCTTCTGTCTACTCATGAACCAGGAAAGAAGTTTTATATAATGTTTTTAATATCTGATAAGGCTTACCCTCTCCCTTACTGTCTTTTTTTCTTTTGTCAAAATTTTCAGAGCTATTCTAACATGTTTATTTTCCACATATATTTTAGAAATTGTCTAGAACTTGTGAAACACTGGAAGAAAAAAATGATATTTTTATTGGAATCAAATTAAATGCATCTATTAGCTTGGTATAAAGATATCCAAAATGAAAGAGTGATCTGGACAGTGCTGGGAGAATACTATTTGGCTTCCTTGTATTCATTCCCACTTCACAAAAGAGTAACTGTTGGGACAGTCAACCCTCTTCCATTCTCATACACGTGGTTTGGACAGAGCAGACCCCAACCTCTCCAAAGGCTGTGGCCGAGGCTTATAGGGGTCCGTGGTTTCAGCTCCTCTCACTGACTCTACATGTACCTCAGCAGGGGGGCCGATTGTGCACTGCTTTGACTCCCACCATGTATCTCCCATCCACAGGCTCTATTACATGACTGCAATGCTCTTTCCTTTTTAAATCTGGGTGAGGGCTTTTGATTGCCCCACGGGATAGACTAAGGTAGAAAGGATACCATATGGCTACAAAGCCTAGGGGGGGAAAGAAAGAATACGTCTGCCAGGGTTGATTTGGAAGAGAGGCTCACTCTGCGGAAGCCACCATCATGCTGCAAAGAAGACTGAACAATCCTATGCAGGGACTACATGAGAGACCCTCACAGAGGGGAACGGACATGTCCACAGACATCTGGCACCAACCACTGGGCAGGCTCCAGGCTTCAAGCCTCCTCTGCCATCAAGGGGAGCTGAGAGGAGATATCCACACTAAACCCAGTCCAAATGCAGATTCCTGAGCAAAATAAATGTTAGTTTGTTAGTTTTGTTAAGCCATCAGCTCTTTTGTCACTAGAACAAGCCCTCTTTGGCATCACTGCCACACCATTTGTCCATCCCTCCACCCACAATCCTCACTATCATTACCTGATCACTGATGGCTTTGTATCCTCCAGCAGAAGCAAGAAATCTCATCTCCAATACTGCTGACTCTCACAAAAAGGGGACCTCAATAAACAATCACCCAAACTTTCAAGAGAGAGCCAAGGAAAGGAGAGGTCCTTGTGTGTGTTATGAGATTTGGGTTCCTGGGGCTCAGGCACCTGCTACTGGTTGAATGCAGCATCACGAACCGCCCTATCTATAGCCTGTGGTTCCTGTTTTCAGCTGGAATAGTCACCACTGAGTCAATGGCTGCCAGTGCTTATGTGGTTACTGAGAGGGCCGTGGGTGATAAAGGCCACAACACTAAAGAACCCTGGGCTCAGAAGACCAGGAGGAAGCACCGGCAGCTCTGACCTGGGTAGCTTCCCGAGGAGATGCAGCCACTTCTGCTCCTGCTGGCCTTTCTTCTGGCTCCCAAGGCGCAGGCAGGTGAGTGACTGACCCCCACCAGAAGCCCAATGCCCTGCGGCACTCACACAGCCCTGATCACATGCTACACTCAGACACATCCTGGCCCTGGTCCATCCCCAGGCACTTTCTCAACTCTAGATCCCACCTCCCTCAAAGACCAGCAAGACTAATGCTGAATTAAAACTCAACAGGAATAGGAGGGCAGAGGGCTGCTCCTGAGGAGGGCCCATGGATGCTCTCCCCTTCCCTTGCCATCTGGAAAGTGGGCTCTTTTTCAAAGACATTTAAAAGAAGGTTGGACACTTGAAATGAGAAATAATTCCACAGAAAATCACAACTTGGTGAAGGGACAGGCTTCCGTAATCGAAGCAAGGCCCACTAATGTTCTAATGCAATGTCTTAAAATCTATCCTCAATCTCCACCCCCTTCTCCAAGCTTTGTAAAGGAGCTGGGGATCCAGTTGATCCCAGAGTTGGTAGCATCCTGGTCCCCTGAGGCTGCTTTGATCTCAAATTCTCTCTGGTAATTTTTCAGTCCCAATGTTCTGAATAGTACAAACCAGCAATGGCTCTGAGTTTGGGAAAAAGAAGGGAGAGAGGACCAAGGAACATGGGAGGAAGGATTTTCCAGGCTCTACAGGTACTAAATTGCTTGTTCCAGATACAAATCCCCTTGCCCACACGCATAGTTGCAACAGGAATGAAGGGATTAGGACTGCTCTTCTCTTTGTCAGAGGGAGTATCTCAGTCTTGTGGGTCAGGTCAGGAATGTTGGGTAGCAAGCCAGGAATGTTGCCCCAGGAACCTGCAGGACATCTTCTTGATTATGGCTGATGACTACAGATATCACTATCTACCATCCAAGTCCTCCCCGCCTGCCCCTGTCTATCCCAGTCTTCCCCTCTCTAGCCTCTGGCTCCATGGGCACAGCAGGCACAGTAGAATTTTTCTTGCAGTGAAAATCATCGGGGGACATGAGGTCAAGCCTCACTCTCGTCCCTACATGGCATTTCTTCGGATCAGGATTTCAGACAGAAAAAGATGTGGAGGTTTCCTTGTGCGTGAGGACTTTGTGCTGACAGCAGCTCACTGCTGGGGAAGGTGAGGAGCACAGCCTGGGCCCCACCCTTCTGCAGGCACCTCACAGGGGACCCTCTTCTCAGGGGCTGCAGACCTAGAGGCACAGAGGAGCACTTCAGAGGACAGGTCAGCTTTGGGGAGAGAAGGACAGGTCAATGCAAGAGGCCTGTTGAAGACTGGAGGGACTGACCAAAGGGGCTTAGGAAGGAGGCCAAGGTTGTGCCCTGAAGACCAGGGTACAAATGTGAGAAATTCACAGTTTTGCTTAGAGAAAGGCAAGCTCAGGGTGTGACTGAGCACCCAAGATCTGCTCCAGGAAATGACACCTAGCCTGAGCTGCCACCAGCACAGGGCACAGGCATGCTCAGTGCCCAGCTCCTGCCCCTAGAATTCCTCCCCACTCCAATCCTGCACTGCCCCCAGTTGTCCTCTTTCCTTCCTGGCCCCTGGGCTGTATCTGCTGAGCCTCCACGTCCCTGGCTGTCTTTGTGCAGATCCATCACAGTCATCCTGGGCGCCCACAACATCAGGAAGCATGAAAGGACCCAGCAGGTCATCCCGGTGAAAACAGCCATCCGCCACCCAAATTATCATCCCAAAGTCAATGACATCATGTTGCTGCAGGTAGGGCTCATTGCTCCACTGGCTCTTGCACACCTTAAGCCTGGGGTTTCTCATCTCCTGTGACCTCCTTCCTCCCAGTGTGACCCCTTTCCTTGTCCCAGGGCTATGACTGTCCTGGAGTCCCTGGGCCCTTGCTCAATGAGAACTCCTGTCCTCTGCCTTCAGCTGCAGAGGAAGGCCACCCTGACTGCCGCCGTGAGCCTCCTCAGGCTGCCCAGGAGGGGAGAGCAGGTGACACCAGGGATGGTGTGCAGAGTGGCCGGCTGGGGGCGACTCGACCTGAACACCAGCACAGCCACACTGCATGAGGTAGAGCTGGAAATCCAACAGGATGAGCAGTGCATCTCTTGCTACAGACACCGTTACAACAGAACCACAGAGATCTGTGTGGGGGACCCAGAAAGGAATCAGTCTACTTTTAAGGTGAGATCTCCAGCATCATCCATGCCCAGCCCTGGGCACAACCAAGCTTGTAGGCAACCTGGCGCAGTGGAAACTAGCCATATCCCTGTGTCCAATCTCCTGTCCTGTCTCTCCGGGGAGCGGAGAGGCTGTCCCACAGCCACTGGTGGGCAAAGGCTTCCTAAAGGGGGAGAAAGACCATCAGAGTCAAACAGAAAACCCCAGGCCTAGGGAGGAGATAAGGCCTGCCCTGACCCTGATCTCCCATGCAGCTCCTAACAGGGACCACACACCCCAGAGCAGCAAGGAGGGCAGGGCAGGGCAAGGCCCAGCTCAGTGTTTCCTCTCTCTGCCCACAGGGTGACTCTGGGGGCCCCCTCGTGTGTGACAACATGGCCCAGGGCATTGTCGCCTTTGGGAAAAAAAATGGGAAACCACCTCGTGTTGAAACTAAGATCTCCAGCTTTCTGCCCTGGATAAAAAGAACAATGAGACGTTTCCAACTGCAGAGACCAGACTGAGGCACCCCGGAACTGATCTATTCATCTCCTCTGGGGAGCAGCCCAGAACTGCCCTGTGCAGAGGGGTTGACGGGAGGCTGCCAGTCACCTAATAAACTTGCATCTCTAGAGTGGAAGTCACTGATTCCTCCTGTGTTCACCAAAACATGTGTTAGTTACCTGCTGTGTGTGCGGCAACCATCTGTTCACATTTCCCATCTGTTAGCGCTTCCCCTTCATGGACCGCACCTTTCACCTCTAGAATAAAATTCATGCTGCCTTGATACCCAGCTCCTTCCCAATACTCCTCCCAGTGCCAGCTCCCTTGCCGGGCCTAATGTAAGCTCCATCAAGAAAAGGAAGACATCTGTTCCCAAAAAGTGACCCTCTTCTAGGGGACCCTCTTATCTCATCCATATTGCCCTCCTACGTCAAGCCACACTTACACCCTACCCCACGCAGCCCCAATGCCAATATGCAGCATAAAAGAAAGTACATCTAATACGTGGGTAAAAACTCAAAGAGACAACTAAAGTGGGGAGACAAAGAAACACTCCCCAAAATAAAGAAATGGACCTAGAAAAGGACCTAGATGAGATGAAGGCAAGCAAGTTATCAGCACAGTTGTGTTATAAATATGCACAAGGAACTTGGTGAGAACTCTAAGAAACTTAATTGGAACTTCCAGGAATTTATTTCAAACTACAAGAAACTTAATGAAGCCTAACATCAGCAGGAAAAATGATATAGATATTATGAATAAGAACCAGGCAGAAATGAAGAATACTATATCTGACATCAAGAATATGCTGCCCTAACTGGTTTGGCTCAGTGGATAGAGCGTCGGCCTGCGACATGAAAGGTCCCAGGTTCGATTCTGGTCAAGGGCATGTACCGTGGTTGCAGGCACATCCCCAGTCGGGGGTGTGCAGGAGGCAGCTGATCGATGTTTCTCTCTCATCGATGTTTCTGACTCTCTGTCCCACTCCCTTCCTCTCTGTAAAAAATCAATAAAATATATTTAAAAAAAAAAAAAAAAGAATATGCTGAAAGGGCCCAGCCGGTGTGGGTCAGTAGTTAAGTGTCAACCTCTGAACCAGGAGGTCTCTCACACAAGAATACAAAACACCTGGTCTCCTCCTCATTTTGAAAGTGAATGCAGGCCATGCCCAGGAGAAGAGCCAGGTGTGACTGATCTGAGCTGTGGCTGGATGACTGCACAGAAGCTCCTGGCAGCCTTGGCTCCACTGCAGCCTGAGCTGCCCATGTCCAGCCCCACCTCCCCTGCTTCCCAGGCCCTCAGCTAATTAATTAGCTGAGGTAATTAATGTCCCTATGTCCAATGAGGGATGAGTCAAATGGGAAACCCCAAACCTAGGGAGAAGACAAGGCCTACCTTCAAGCCTTAATCTTCAGGGGAGATCATCGGGGGACCTGAAGTCAAGCCCCACTCCCATTCCTACATGGCCTTCATTCACATTCAAGATGAGAAGTAGACCACATGTGGTGTGTCCTTGTGTGAGTGAACTTGGTCCTGACAGCTGGTCACTGTCAGGGATTATGTGAATTAATCACAGGGATATTAGCTGAGATAATGAATTAACCAATGTTTTGGCTCCACGCTCCCTGGCTGTGCCCTCTCCCCATCCCTGTGGCCTTGAATCCCATCAGACATCAGGCAAAAGCTAATTGGAGTCCATCATTCATGCAGCCAACTAATCTTTACTAAGAACTTAGGATCTATTAGGCACTAGGACAAGAGGACTTCAGAAAATCTTGGAGAACCAAGATGGCGGCATAGGTTAACGCCGGAGTTTGCTGCCTTGAACAACTACTTCAAAAGTGAAACTAAAAGATGGAACGGACATCACCCAGAACCACAGGAACGCTGGCTGAGTGGAAGTCCTACAACTAGGAGGAAAGAGAAACGCATACGGACACTCAGAGGAGGCACAGTGCTCAAGTCAAATTCTGAGGTGCGGAGTGCGCGGAGCGGGCTGGCTGCGGAGGGCGCGGTTGGCGTTTTCAATCGGGAGGGAGTCGCAGACTCTGAGCTCCAGATACGGGCGAGTCTTTAGGGACCCAGACTCAAACGGGAGCAGCGGGACTGTCTGGCTTCGGTCAGAGCGAGTGCAGCTTTCTCTCCAAAGTTTGCAGCGGTTGCTGGGACTCAGAGAGGCAGAGCTCCTGGGGACAGGACTGAGAGCCGCCATAACTGCTCTCTCTGGCCCACCCTGTTGATCCTGTGCGACCCGCCCCGCCCAAGCCTTGCACAGAGGCGTTTGCCAGATAGCCTCAGGCAAAGGCTAGATTAGCACCTCCCTAGAGGACAGAAGTTCTCTCACTGCAGACACAGCTGATTCTCACAGCCACTTGGCCTGGAGGTCAAACCCTCCCTGGTATTAGCTACAACAATCAAGGCTTAACTACAAGACTGCGCACAAAGACCACTAGGGGGTGCACCAAGAAAGCATAACAAAATGCGGAGACAAAGAAACAGGACAAAATTGTCAATGGAAGATATAGAGTTCAGAACCACACTTTTAAAGTCTCTCAAGAACTGTTTAGAAGTCGCCGATAAATTTAATGAGATCTACAAGAAAACTAATGAGACCCTCAATGTTATGATGGGGAACCAACTAGAAATTAAGCATACACGGACTGAAATAATGAATATTATACAGACTCCCGACAGCAGACCAGAGGAGCGCAAGAATCAAGTCAATGATTTGAAATGCGAGGAAGCAAAAAACACCCAACCGGAGGGGCGGAATGAAAAAAGAATCCAAAAATGCGAGGATAGTGTAAGGAGCCTCTGGGACAGCTTCAAGCGTACCAACATCAGAATTATAGGGGTGCCAGAAGATGAGAGAGGGCAAGATATTGAAAACCTACTTGAAGAAATAATGACAGAAAACTTCCCCCACCTGGTGAAAGAAATGGACTTACAGGTCCAAGAAGCCCGGAGAACCCCAAACAAAAGGAATCCAAAGAGGACCACACCAAGACACATCATAATTAAAATGCCAAGAGAAAAAGACAAAGAGAGAATCTTAAGAGCAGCAAGAGAAAGAAACTCAGTTACCTACAAGGGAATACCCATACGACTGTCAGCTGATTTCTCAACAGAAACTTTGCAGGCCAGAAGGGAGTGGCAAGAAATATTCAAAGTGATGAATACCAAGAACCTACAACCAAGATTACTTTATCCAGCAAAGCTATCATTCAGAACTGAAGGTCAGATAAAGAGCTTCACAGATAAGGAAAAGCTAAAGGAGTTCATCACCACCAAACAGGATTATATGAAATGCTGAAAGGTATCCTTTAAGAAGAGGAAGAGGAAGAAAAAGGTAAAGATACAAATTATGAACAACAAATATGCATCTATCAACAAGTGAATCTAAGAATCAAGTGAATAAATAATCTGATGAACAGAATGAACTGGTGATTATAATAGAATCAGGGACATAGAAAGGGAATGGACTGACTTGGGGGGGAAAGGGGTGTGGGAGATGAGGGAAGAGACTGGACAAAAATCGTGCACCTATGGATGAGGACAGTGGGTGGGGAGTGAGGGTGGAGGGTGGGGCGGGAACTGGGAGGAGGGGAGTTATGGGGGGAAAAAAGAGGAACAAATGTAATAATCAGAACATTAAAGATTTAATTAAAAAAAAAAAAAAGAAAATCTGACTCCATGAGCTCATGGGTAGATTATTAGAAACAGCACCAATCAGGTGTCAACACAGGCTCAGAGCATCAGGGAGACTCACTGAGTCCTGTTCCACCCCTTGGGGCTCCACCATCTGCAAGATAGGCCTTGTCTCCTCCATTCATGTGTCTGAGGAGGACTTGGAGAGCAAGCACTATACCCTGTTCTTAGAGGAGGGTTCTGAGGCCTGAGGTTCAGAGAAGGTTCCTGGGCTAAAGGAGGATCTAAGAGACCCTCCCTGCAATGTCTTTTGAGCACCTAGACCACCCACCTCAATTATCTCTTTCCTAAGCCTTCCCTCCTGAGCACAGACACTGCCAGTCACCTACCTTCAAGCCTTAACCTTCAGGGGAGATCATCGGCAGACATGAAGTCAAGCCCCACTCCCATTCCTACATGGCCTTCATTCACATTCAAAATGAGAAGGAGACCACATGTGGTGTGTCCTTGTGGGAGTAAACTTGGTCCTGACAGTTGGTCACTCCTGAGACCACTACAGGGACCCTATCTTTTCCTCACAGGCTGCAGCCCAGGGCAGCTCCCTAGTCTCCTGGTAACTCAAGCCAATGAGAGCTCATCAGAGAATCCCTCTGAGATCATGACTGGGGCAATGAGAGGCTGGGAAATAGACAGGTAAGATTTGGGCTCAGAGGTGACAGCAAAGTGACATAGTTAAGAAGAGAGGGAGGGACCACACTGGGCAAGTAAAGCAACAGTGAACCAGGGATGCATGCATTCGGATCAAAATGTAAACTCAAGCAATTTTGTGATATTTCCTAAGTGCATGAGCGTGAGCTCCCAGCTCCCTAACCTCAGTGTCGTTGAGAGGCTGAGACACTCAGCCGCTGTCTTCCTGTGGCTTCCATTTCCCTGAGCCACAGCCCTCCCTCGGCTGTCACCTGCCTTCATGATTCCGGGACTAATCTCCTATGACACTCCCTCCCGCCCCACTCACCGTTCTGCTCTCTGTGCAGGTCAATCAGTGTCTCCCTAGGGCCCACACCATCAAGGAGCAGGGGACAACCCAGCAGGTCATCCTGGAGAAAATAGCCATCCTCCACCCTCACTATAATCCTAAGAACTTCTCCAATGACATCATGTTACCACAGGGGACAAAAACTCCTGCTGCTCTTACTCTTATGAGTCCATATTGTTTCCCTTCCAACTGAATGAAGCACTTCCCTTCCTTACTTTCCATCCTGGCCACCAAACCAGTCCCAGTGACTCAGGTGTCCCTCAGTGTCCCAGCCCAGAGGCCACTGTCTGTGAATCCTTTCAGCCTTCCCAGAGGCGAGGATGAGTGAGGCCAGGACAGAAGGGCACTGTGGCCAGCTGAAGGCCCATGGAGATGGCACTCTACCAACCACTCTGCAGGAGGTAGAAGTGACCATATACACTGATGGGCAATGAATGTCATGCTTCCCCAGATACTACAGCAGGGTCACCAGATTTGGGAAGAGCATCCAGAGAAGAGAAAGACTGGCCTAGGATCAGGTTTCCAGCATTTACCTTGACAGGTCCCAGAAGATGGAACTTGGGGAGGAGCCATCTCTTCACGCCTCATCCTGAGAGATTGGACAGCCCGGTCTTTGGTGTTTTCCCCTGGGTGGATCAGGGGTGGAGGTGAGAATGGATCAGTCACCCCACAGAAGTGTTATCCCCAGAGTGTCCCTGGGTATTGGAGAGAAAATCTTGGCGTGGGTTAAGCTGGAAAGAACAGTTGAAGTCAGGCTGGAGCTGGGGACCAAAGGAGGCAACAAGGCCGGCCCTGGCCCAGATCCCCCCACAGCCCCAAACACAGACCACCTGCCCCTGGGTGGCCAGGAGGGCAGGACCCCAAGGAGTCCAGCTCAGTCTTTCCTCTTTTGGCTCACAGGGAGACTCCGGGGCCCCCTCACGTGTAACAACAGGCCCAGGGAATTTTCTCCTGTGGAGAAAAAAACCTCCAGGAGTCTTCATGAACGTCTCATACTTCCTCCCCTGGATACAGAGAACAATGAAGACCCTTTAACAGCAGGCGTGAGGCTGGCCTTCCTCTTGGCTTGACCATCCGTCTGGGGGCAGAGGCAAGAATCCCATGGGGGGGGGGGGGGCAGTGTGGAGTACAGGGTCATAATAAACTCATCTCTAGAGCCAATGCCACAGAAGTCTTATTCAGTGAACCCCTTTCAATAGGTAACAACACTGCTCCATGCGCCCTCTGCTGGCAATTCTAGGCTTGCTTCCTCCTTTCTCACCTCAGCCTCCATCCTCCCTAAACCCCACACAGTATAGTTTCTCATCCATTTTGCAAGCACACCTCTTTGGTGTTTAACCCTCTGGAAGGTCTGATTCTAAGCTCCATTATTTAAAAAAAATTCTCTCCCAAGAAATGGCCCTCTTTGGGCCTCAGAAATTTCTTACCTTCTCTAAGCCAAATACTATCACCAATCCCCTCTCCCCCAACAATTTGGCTGAAGAAGAATAACTCCAGGACCTAGAGACCAGAAGGCCATGCCATGGACACTGTTTTCTGCTTCCAGGTCCTCTCTCTCCAGTGGGAGCAGGATTCTCAGGAGGCTCAGATGCTCCTATGATGGCCCTCAGCCTACTCAGGTCCCATTTCCCTGCCCGGCCCTGGGACAGCACTGAGCTCAGTCAGCCTCCTTTCTCCCTGGCTGACCTTCCCAGCCCCTATTTTCCATCATAGTGCCCGGACACCAGCTTCTTCCCCCACCACCACCCCCCACCCAGACCACTTATTTTGAGCCAGCCTCTCTCACACCTACCTAACACAGTTCTGAATATCCAGCGTGAATTCTCCTCTATTGCTTCCTCACCAGACCTGAACTGCCAGCCCACCTGATGCCTATCAGAAGAGCCAGAATGTACTTCCCACCTGGGCAGGACCAGCTCAATGCCTTCCAGCCCAGCATCCCCCCAAGAGCTCAGCCACTCAGCTACCTCAGCCCCTTTCAGCCTGGCCTGGCCGCAGGTCCTGCCTCCCCCTGCTGGCTACCTGGGTTATGGCACCTTTGTGAGCCAGAGGGCTTCAAGCTGCATGGCTGCAAAGTGTCACTTTGCCATCCAACGATAGATCAAATGTCCTCCTATCTTTGTGGGAGGAACAAACAGGCTCTGTCCCTGCCATTGGGACACTTGCCATGATGAGGAGTTTCCTCGAAATTTTCCTGGTTCCTCTCCTCCACCAGGCAGATGGGTTTAGCACAGATAGGTCTGTACTTGGAGTCCACAAGAAATTTTGTCTTGAAAATAATTAAACTCTCAGTGTTTTCTCTTTTTTAATTTATTTATTGATTAAGGTATTACATATGTGTCCTTATCCACCTCCATTACCCCACACACACACACACACGCACACTCATGCCCTCACCCCCCTGGTGTCTGTGTCCATTGGTTAGGCTTATATTATGCATACAAGTCCTTTGGTTGATCTCTCCCCCTTAACCCCCACTCTCCCCTTCCTTCCCTCTGAGGTTTGATGGTCTGGTCGATGATTCTCTGTCTCTGGATCTGTTTTTGTTCATCAGTTTATGTTGTTCATTATATTTCATAAATGAGTGAGATCATGCAATATTTCTTTTCTCTTTATTGCACATAACAGTTTCACATGCTTGATCGTGTTTGATACCAGAATGACAGTGTGAAATGGACGCCTACATGTCCTGAGTTTTCCAATCCACTCAGTGGAGTCCATGTCAGGAGGTGAGGGAGGAGGCAGCCAGGGCAGCCTTATCTTTACTTACAGCACAGGTAGGGGCATTAGCCTCAGCCCGCAAACCCACAAAATGCCACATTTCAAGTGCAAGGCAGCTCATTGTGACCCAGATGACCCTATTTCAGAGTCCTGTATCCTCCAAACAGCACCACCCGTGGCTGGTGTGACAGAACACAACAAATTCACAACAGCTGCACAAACAAGGAGTCAAGTGGGACCCACATCGAAAGGAAAAACAGCTTCCTTAAAAAGAATAGCCAATGAACCACAAGGATATGAGAAGTTAAACCCAGCACATTTAAGTGTAAGCTGGAAAGCAAATAAAAGCTCATTTTACACACTAGACTGTCCCTACATCCATGTGCCAAGTGTTCCCTGGGGCTCCCAGCCCTGGCAGAAGCACAGGTGAGAGAAGAGCTGAATGCATGTGTGAGATGAGCAGGTGAAGGGTAGATGGCGCAGGAGGTAAGGGGCCACTTCATTCAAACACGACCCCCAGGAGGGTCCGTCACACAAAAGAAATGGAGCCCCGGACAGTCAGCCATGAGGAGCTCGTCGGGACCCCAGATGTAAGGCAGAGCCGGCAGCAGAGAGTCCACATGTATCCAACCCCAAGGGCAAGGTGTGTGCCTTGAAGGACAGCGCCTGGTGGGCCTGCCTTCCCCTGACACCTGATAGGAGTACTTGACACAGGATGATGTACATTAGGAAGAAAAACTATTAAAATGACTGAGCATCACGAGGACAGTGCTGCTCTTTTTTTTAATTTTGTTTTATTGCTTAAAGTATTACAAAGAGTATTACATATGTCTCCTTTTTTTTTCTCCCCTTGACCTTCTGCTGGCCTCCCCTCCCCACCTCCCCCCCCCCAGTGTCTTGTGTCCATTGGTTATGCTTATATGCATGCATACAAGTCCTTTGGTTGATCTCTTACCCCTCCCCCCTCCCCCCCCCAACCCACACCGCCAACCCTCCCCGGCATTCCTGCTGTAGTTTGTTGCAACATCGAACAGACTGTCAGACAGGGCTGCTCTTGACAATACATGTTTCCTTAAAATGATTTCTAAGTATGTTTATATTTATTTCTCCCTGTTTGATGTAATGATTTTTATTTTTAGAACCCTTATTCTGTGGAAGGTCTAAATTGGTGTGTGTGTGTGTGTGTGTGTGTGTGTGTGCATGCACACACACGTGCACATTCGGAGGGAGTTATCCTTAAAGGTACTTACCACATCATCTATATATATAAAAGCCTAAGCAACCAACTGACCTGAACAACTGGAACGACCAGTCACTATGACATGCACTGACCCCCAGGGGGCAGACGCTCAATACAGGAGCTGCCCCCTGGTGGTCATTGTGCTCCCACAGTGGGAGCGCAGCTCAGCTGACAGACCCATCCCGGCAGCCCACAGGCCTGGCGGCAGTCACTCCCTCAGTAAACCTGCAGGTCCAATCTCCAGAGAACAGGTCAGGCACCTACGGAACAGCACCACCAGCAGGATCCTGCCAGCCTCCTGGAAGTTGGCCTCAGGCACCAAAGCCACTTCCCCTCCCTAGACACTCTGCAAGGAAGAAAGGATATAAAAGTTGCTGCCAGGTGGCTCCCAACAACTGGTGCAAATGTCAGCAGGACGGATCCGGATGCCAGGCCTGCAAGGGTGTCCCACCACCTGCCTGGAGGGCCGATCATGTCCTGGCCTCCCCGACCTCGCTCGGGACCCCACCCATGCACAAATTTTGTGCACTGGGCCTCTAGTTATTTAATAGGGAAATGGTAGAATATGGCACATCATATTATGTATGTGTTATGCAAGCCATTCACAGCTGTATTATCCACTGCTCTACAGAACTAGGCTAAGGAAATTTTAAAAAGAAATAAAACTAGGCTAAGAACATTAACTAAAGAAAACTAAATAAACATTGGAAAGTCAAAGCTCACTAACTAATAAAAGCAAATTAAAATAGTAATAATTTTTTACTTTTCTGATTAGGAAGAATTTACAAAAATAATTATACTCAAATTCAATTGGACATTGAGAAAATGGCATTTTCATACATTGTGCATAAATCTCCTTTTTAAAAAAGTATAAAAGGAGTCTTTTACCTAACAATCAACCACACCAAGAAATTTGGACAAATTATTTATTATAGATTTGTTTAAAAATCAAATCTTAGAAATGATGCCAATGTCTAGCACAGTGGTTCTCAACCTTCCTAATGCCATGACCCTTTAATACAGTTCCTCATGTTGTGGTGACCCCCAATTTTATTGTTACAAATTGAACATAATTAAAGCATAGTGATTAATCACAAAAACAATATGTAATTATATATGTGTTTTATGATGGTCTTAGGCGACCCCTGTGAAAGGGTCGTTCGACCCCCAAAGGGGTCACGACCCACAGGTTGAGAACCGCTGGTCTAGCACTAATTTGGGGATTCGCTTAAAAAGTTACATATGAACCCAGCCAGTCTTGCTCAGTGGTTGAGCATCAACCCACGAACCAAGAGGTCACAATTTGATTCCCAGTCAGGGCACATGCCCAGGTTGCTGGCTCAATCCCCAGTAGGGGGTGAGCAGGAGGCAGCCTATGGATGATTCTCTCTCATCATTGATGTTTCTACCTCTCTATCCCTTTCCCTTCCTCTCTCTGAAAAATCGATAAAAACTTTTTTTAAAATTACATACGATTGAACACTATGGAACCTATAAAGTTATGACATGAATTATATTTTGTCATAGGGAAGAATGTTCACCAGGTATATTTAAGTCAAAAGCAGGTTAGACATCAGTATACAGTCATATGCCACTCAGCAACAGAGATACGTTCTGAGATTTTGTGAACATCATAGGTGCACTTACACAACCTTGCCCACTACACACCTCACAAAACACAAGACTGACTAAAGCGCCGGAAAAAAGGATGCAGTCAAGAGACGTGGTACATGTGAGATGTATAAGGCTGCAGGCCTAACATGCACACTCTTTTATAGCGAACTTTTTTTAAAGGTAGAAAGAGCACACTCAAAAATAATGACTATCCAGGAGCTTCCAAAATGTCCTTCAGAGAATATTAAGGCAGCTCTGAGGATGTCCAGGATCCCTCAGGAGTACCGGCCTCCCACTGAGCCAACGGCAGCTACATGGTGACTGACTAGAGCAGCATCAAAGGGGAAGTGACCCAGCATCAGCTGGCAACTGCTTTCCCAGAAGGGCTGCATTGTTGGTGGCATGTGGGCCCCGGGGAGGAGGTGGGAAACGGCCTATGTTAGTGTCCCAACATCCCAGA